AGAACTCATCAAATACAGTATGAAAAAGCTACAGCTTCTCACTAAAAGCTCGTAAAAAAGCTCGCTTACGGCGAATCCCGTAATCTCTGAGCCGGCTTCCTGTCAAGTCTAAGGCTGACTTCCCATTCGTTGTCAAGAACCATAGAAACAAATAAACAGTGTTTTAGTATTTCTTTAAAAAATAAATAAACCTAAAACAACAGTTATATCTTTTTACAATCTATAATATAATAATATTGTAACTAAGCCGAATCTGCGCATAAAATATTTTTTCAAAAAATCTTATGGAAATAGACATTATTATCGATACAGAGGCCGAATCTATAACTTTAGAATTTTTGTCTGGCTGTTTGTGACCGCATCACGGAAAAACAAATGGAGGGATTTTAATGAAATTTGGTACAGTTGATTGTTTGGGTCAATTTATGTTAATAGTAATAATAAGTCTATACTAAACATTAAATGGGGACGAACCCGAGCGGAGCGAGAGTGAGTCGCTAGTAATATATACATATAGTGACACTCCTTTGTATATATATATAGTGTAATACGTTATTATTAGACACACTATTTATTTTAGGCAGATTTCATATTTAACATTTCTTACTAGCGGTAAGAATTTGACATAACTTTTATGAATTTAATGTCAAATAAAAAAAAAAAAATTAATGTAAATGCTGTAAGAAATCCAAACAGTCATTTGTAACTTTTTTTCAGATATGTATTATTTTATAGTAAAAAACACATGTACATATATTTTCTTTATGTATAATAAAAAAGTCATTGCGAATGTTACTTAGGAGATAGACATATACTATTTGAACTTTTCCGTTTTTTTTTAAGTCCTACAATTTTCTAGTACATTATTTTGATGTATATCTTAAGGTTTAGTCAGCGTTAGCCACATAAATTTCTGACAACTCGATAGAACCAGTTATTATGTGTACCATGGGAATGAAAGATTTTCCTGCATAAAAGGTATCCTAAATATTGACACGAGTGCTAATAAGTTATCACTACACAAAATTTAACATGTTACGTCGTTAACGTCGTTAATATTTTTGCGTGAAATGTGCACACCCAAACAGACAAACAGACGTACAGACAAACAGATAATTTTTTAATAACAATACCATTTTTGGGGTTATTTGAATGAATCAGATCTAAAACATTTTATCCAATTCGACAATTCTTATTACCAAGAATAAACAAAGTACATTATAAGTCTAAGTGGATTTCTTTTTGAAAAAGACCTTAACCCATCATATCATACCTTTCTAGGTTAGTGGGTAATCAACAAACTTACAAACGTATGCTAAAATTTCTTTTCGCTTTTAGCATGCAGTGGCATAATGAGTGTTTACATTTCATTCGAGCTTTTTGTTTACCGACGGTTATGTAATGAGTCCGTGTTAAATAGTTAAATGAATGGTAATTTAGCTTCAGAAGTACAGAATTCGATTACTAGATTAATATTTTTATAAGACAAATAGGTATTATATGTGTTTGTAAATGTTTACATGCGTGTGTGTGTGTGTATGTGTGTGTGTATGTGTGCGTGTGTGTATCTGTGTGTTTGTGTGTGTGTGTATATGTGTTTTTGTACGTGTTTGAATGTTTCCTAATGCTTCGCACTAAAACGGCTGGACGGATTTATAGATTTTTATTTCATGGATATACTATTCAATTTCAACGTGAAGGAGAAACAAATACACAAACACACAAACATATTTTAAGTTTAATAAGAGTAGACCGGTAAACATTTTAAGTAAAATTATAAACTACTAGAAAACAAAAACAAATATATCCCACGGGAACCGTACATTTTTCAGGGATAAAAAGTAGCCTACATGTTATTCTGATGTATGAACTATATTATTGTAAAGTTTCATTAAAATCCATTCAATAGTTTTTGCTTGAAAAAGTAACACACATCCTCACAAACTTTTGCATTTATAATATTAATATAGATATGGCACAATAATGCAAAACTTATCCATTAGATAAAAAACGTAATTTGATTCTATCCTAATATATAATATAATATTAATAACATTTTTTTAACAAAAGACTGGATTGTATTCTTTATATACGTATTTTCAATGTCTACAACAAAGTACCTATATATTTCTATCACTGTATTGTACGAAAATGTCAGGGTATAAATAAAGAGATTTTTATTGGAAATGGTTCAATGAATATCGGATTCGAACTGCGTGTGATTCAATATTATTTACTTCTATGTACTTGTACTACATAATTCGTTATGTACGATACGAAAAAATTATAATATAATAGGTCGACGCCTCTACTTAAATAATCGTTATAAAAGCGAAAGATGATACGCTTGGTTCTGTTTGTAGTGTACTTGTTTGTAGTGTTTGTACTTGCTGTGCCAGCGGTCGCGGGTTCGAGTCCCGCTGGGGGTATTCATTTGTGTGATGAAGTCACAAATGTTTGTACTCCAGTTATGGGTGTTTATATGTATAATATGTATATATTTAAAGTAATAATATATGTGTACTGTGTAGTACATGAACTATGTATTTGATATCCATAACACAAGCCTCGCGTTTTTTTAATATTATACGAGTAATATGTCCTGTCTCCGATTTTTTAGTCAGACTTAAGCCAATACAATTTTTATATGGAAATACCAAATTTCATGTAAGAACAATATTGATAGAACAAATCTTTTTTATTTAGTAAAACTTTTTGAAAACTTAAATTTATCAATCTAAACCACACAAATAACTCAATTTCAGAGCTATTTGGCATTGAAGTCTAGAACTGGAACGTATAGAACACAAAAGCGGCGATACAACCGAATCTAGATAAGAAAATGACGTGATATTATGTCTTTGTCAAGTAATTGATATAAAATGTAGAAAAACTGAGGAAATTTTAAACTGACAGAAGAAAATATCAAAACTAAAAGTATTAGTATTGCAAGAATGCTAAATATTGTTTGTGCTATTTTTGATCAACATCAAAAAGGACAGAGTACTCAATTCGGCAGATTTTTTTTTTTAAATGTTAAACGATATTTTCACTAATTGTGAATCGATTTTTATTTTAAACTAGTGACTCATCCTCGCTTCGCTCGGATTCGTCCCTAGGTACGTTTTAAATTAAAATGGATATAGTATGTTATCCTTAAGAGATAGACATATGCCATTGCGGACTTTTCTGTAGACCTATATAAGATACACAATTCCACCATACATTATTTTGTTATATCTCAAAGGGTTTAGGCAGCGTTTTCGTTGAAAGCTCCCAGACGTCTTATTTTTTCCGACACCTCCAACGATTATCGTTATATTTTAGCCAATGTATACAAAAACTTAACAAATTATATACTAAAACCTTCCTCTTGAATCATCATCTATCTATTAAAAAAACCGCATCAAAATCCGATGCGTAGTTTTAAAGATTAAAGCAAACATAGGGATATAGGGACAGAGAAAGCGACTTTGTTTTATACTATGTAGTGATAAGTGAATTTCTGATTTTAGAATCGGATTTTTTCGCTGATATTCGATTCATTTCGTTTGGAATGCTTTATAGCAAACATGGTCAAAGAAAATGCTAAGGTTGTAGACCTCTCAAAACTTATTATATAGTTGTTACAGACACCACCTAGTCATGAATATTTATAAAAAATATATTACATAGTTTTATTTAAAGTATTATAGGAATCAATTTGTATTGTACGGCTATTTTTTTACTACATTTAATGGTTCAAATAAAGGTAGGTTACTAGAGCTATATTCCTATCTAGGTTTGGATTGCCTTAAGCGAAGCTCGACTTAGTAAAACGGGATTTTGGAGCTTAAAAGCCAGCCCATTTCTCTTTTGATACACACTGCCCCTTTTAAACTTCCGTAATCTACACGATATCCATGATATGTAGTAGATTTGTTCAGTAAATATGATCATTTCATGGGTCTCAAAAGGTCTCTTCAGTGCCCCGAAACGTTTTTTGTCAAAGATATTATTAGTAAAGATCCGGAAATAGCTAAGTAGAACCTTCCCATTGTGCTGTGGAGAACACCTAAAGCCGTTATTCACGTACTTTGAATTAACTTCGATCAAGTATTTGATATATCCATCGATATTCACCCTCCAAATTCTACAAGCACTAAAATACTATGAACATATTTTGTATTAAACGACATGAATCAGAAACATGTCATAATTTCATTTTAGTCCATGTGTATGTGTGTGTGTGTTAATAGTATATTTATTTATGTACTTTTTCAATCTTTTTGCTTAATTTAACCTGTTTTTTATTTGTGGAAACTTAATTGGTAAATGTGTGATTTTTTTATTGTAAATTGTATATTCTGTAATCCTTTTTGTTTCTATAAAATAAATATTGAAAAATAAATTATGCAGGAATCAATACTAGTAAAGCTGGCTAGGCCCGATGGCTAGCATAGGCTACTGTTGTACCTCATGGAGACGGGGGTTCCGTTGGGTTTTAGTGGGTAGTTGTAATCGATTTTTAATCGCTGAGTTCCACATCACCACCTGTATGTATCCAGGTTACTTTTCAAAAAGCTACATTTTCTCTCCAACTATCTATTGTTTTGCATGAATTAGTAGAATGCAATAAGCTTATAAAGCTGTAAGTTCAAAGTTAAGTGGATTGGATTACAAATGAAATATAAACATGACGGCGCATTGACATTTTTGAGAGTGACGTTTCGACACTCTGACACAACCCCGGGCGCTAGTGAGCATTAGCGTGTGAGTCGAGACGGACATTACTTTTGTCATTCGATTCGCATCGCATCGTTACATTACGTGTTCGGTGGAGTGTCTGTGTTTGAATTTTTAATTGAAATTAAGAACTGTTAAGAATTGTGAAGTGTTAATGAACAATTGTAAAAGGGATTATAATTAGTGATTATATTGTGTATGATTTGTGAAGCGTCGTTTTATTCTCTTCGTCCGTCAACTCACGTCTACCCACATTATAGTAATAATTATTGAATATGGAAACGATTAATAATGATGATAGAGGCCAAGTGCCTTTATCAGAAGTGGGATTTGCAGGACAAAGATCTGAAGAGAATATGCAAAGTAATAAAGCGTCGACGTCATCGCAGGAACCCAGCTTTCTACAGAATATGGAAATGTTACTAACTAGATTATTAGCGGCTACTCATGCGCAACCTACGAGTAATCCTCCGATACAATTGATTCAGTTTGACCCTGATTGTGTGGATGCGGACATAGAAGGTTGGTGTAAAGTGACCGAAATCATTGTTGATAGCAAGAAGTTAGAAGGTGCGGAATTACTATTATTGCTTACACATGCCCTTAAGGGACGGGCCGCTTCTTGTCTCACCAAACTACAACCATCTCAACTAACATGGTTGCAAATAAAAGAAATTCTATTGGCAAAGTTCGCTAAGCCTATGTTACCACAGGATTATTTCGATGAAGTGCTTCGATTTCAAATAGGCCTAAAAGAATCGGCATGTGAGGCGGCGATACGACTATGGAGCATTATAGAACGCATTCCCCGTACGGAGATGGCTGAAGACATAATCACAGGATTTGTAGCGTCAGTGTTGAGTCAAAAGGATGTCATTATTCGTAGGGAGCTTCATTCTCATAATGTGGCAACTAGATCTCAACTCTTTCGCATTCTTAATGGAATATCATTAAAGCGGAGGCATGATGGTAACGACAGCCAAGAAATGGAAGTTAAAAGGACTCGTTTTAATGAAGGTCGCTTTACGGGAGCATGTCACCGTTGCGGTGTGCCAGGACATAGAGCTATTGACTGCCGTAAAAAGCGCGAAGACCCTAGTTCCGTAGAAAAGACACCGAGCCAATCGTTTAGAATACCTGATAAGACGCGAGTGATTACGTGCTATGTATGTGGACAGTCGGGGCACCTCGCGTCAACATGCCCAGAAAGAAAAGGAGGGAGCAGCGCACAGATAGTCAAGGAGGTCAACATCTGCGAGCGCAAATCATCGATGAGCACGTTAACTACATCATCTGGTGAGCCCGTTTCATTTCTTTTTGATAGTGGATCTGCTTGTTCGTTAGTCACATGTAGCTTTTCTAAAAAGTTTTCGGGTACGATTGAAAATAATTTGGTATATTTAACAGGAATAGGTAGAGAAAATGTAAAATGTAATTCACAAGTTCTTAGTTCCATCAATGTACAAGGTATTTCATTATCAGTATTATTTCATATAGTACCGGACGGCACCATTGCAGAGCCCGTAATTTTAGGTCGCGATTTATTAGAAAATAACATTCATGTCGAAATCAATAATGACCATCTTATATTTTCATTACGTAAAGATATTAGTGTAACTGAAAAACCGAACTATTTTAATTTTCTAAATACAGATCTAGACGGTGATAATAAAATTGCTCTAATTAAAATACTGCAAAAATACAGCGACTGCTTTATCGATGGCATTCCGACACGACGTGTTTCTACAGGTGTATTACGAATAGATCCGATTGACCCCACTAAAACTGTGCAAAGGCGCCCCTATAGATTAGCCCCCGCGGAAAAAGAAATTGTCAGACAGAAAGTTGAAGCTCTTTTAAATGCAGGTGTCATTAGAGAAAGTCACTCTCCTTTCGCTAGCCCGATTTTGTTGGTCAAAAAAAAAGGATAATACAGATAGAATGTGCGTAGATTATCGGGAGCTCAATTCTAATACACGACCCGAACATTACCCATTGCCAAGAATTGACGAACAAATAGATCGTCTTCATGGTGCCCATTACTTTTCCTCATTAGATATGGCGTCTGGTTATCACCAAATATTGGTAGATCCCGATAGCATAGCACGAACGGCATTTGTGACCCCGGAAGGCCAGTATGAGTACCTGGCAATGCCATTCGGGCTTCGAAATGCAGCATCTGTTTATCAAAGGTGCATTAATAAAGCACTAGGTCCCTTAAAAGATAACGTGGCATTAGCCTACATGGACGATGTCTTATGCTACTCTGATGACGTTAAAAAGGGCTTGGAGCGCCTAGATTCCACGCTAAAAGCACTTTCTGACGCGGGCTTCTCGTTTAATATTAAGAAATGTGCATTCTTGAAAAAGGAAATTGATTATCTGGGGTATGTAATAAAAGCGGGAAAGGTAACTCCAAATCCTACAAAAGTGCAAGCTTTAGCAAACGCTCCCACACCTAAAACAGCTACACATGTTAGGCAGTTCCTGGGGCTTGCGTCCTACTTTAGACGTTTTATTCCTAATTTCACCCGTATTGTGGGACCCTTGTACCCACTAACAAAATTAAAAGGCCCAATTAAATGGTCAGAGACACACAGTGAGATTCACAAAAAGATTGTTGATATACTTACTACAGAACCGGTTTTAACAATTTTTGATAGGGACTCACCAATAGAACTGCACACTGACGCAAGTTCGGAAGGATATGGCGCGATACTCATTCAAAGAAAGAATGGTGCACCTCATGTTATTTCGTATTTTAGCCGCAGAACAACAGACACAGAATCGCGATATCACTCTTATGAGTTGGAGACGCTGGCTGTTGTTCGAGCTGTAGAAAATTTTCGCCATTACTTGTATGGTCAGCATTTTACAGTATTTACAGACTGCAACTCTCTTAAAGCGTCTAAATCGAAAACTGATTTAACCCCGCGTGTTCATCGTTGGTGGGCTTTCTTGCAAGCGTATGATTTTGATATTGTGCATAAACAGGGAAAGAGTATGGAACATGCTGACTTCTTGTCAAGAAATCCACTTTCAGAACCAGCCCCTGGACCCTCTCATACAAATGATGACTCTGGTTTATCCAAGAAAGGTAAGCATGTTCATTTTGTAGAGTTGCATAAGGGTTGGCTTTCTGTGGAACAGAAACGCGATAGAGAGATTCAAGATCTTATCAGTAAGTACAATGACAAAGATTTACCAGAATTAGTTGCGCATACTTACGATGTCCGAAAAGGCATTCTTTATAGGAAGATAGAACGTAACAAGACTACTTTTTGGTTGCCAGTCGTACCTAGGTCTCTTACGTGGACTTTGATTAATCATGTGCATACAGAAATTAAGCACCTTGGAGCTGAAAAGACCCTTGACAAAATATATGAGCAATATTGGTTTCCACAGATGGCTAAGCAAGTTCGTAAATTTATTGAATCTTGCATAGTTTGCAAAGCCTCAAAGGGTTGTTCAGGGGCTCAGCAGGTACAACTCCACCCAATACCGAAAGTAGCAACACCATGGGATACAATACATATCGACATGACAGGGAAACTCAGTGGAAAGAGTGATAGGAAAGAATACGCCTCAGTCATAATCGATTCCTTCACAAAATACGTCCTACTTGAGTATACACCCTCACTTGATGCGGCAAGTGCCATTAAAGCTCTTAAAAAAGCTGTCTGTCTGTTCGGTGCCCCAAAACGGATTATTGCTGATCAGGGTCGGTGTTATATAAGCGCAGACTTTAAACAATTCTGCAGCGATCATAACATGGAGCTTCACCTTACTGCTACTGGCTCTAGCAGGGCTAACGGCCAAGTTGAGCGGGTGATGAGGACTTTGAAATGCTTACTTACAATAGTAGAAAACGAAACCAATAAAACATGGAGAGACGAACTCCCGGAGGTACAGCTAGCTCTTAACTCGACGCGTTCTAGAGTAACCGGATATACACCAACAGAATTGATGTTTGGCATACGAGCACAGTCCTTGGGAATGTCTAGCATATTACCGCACTCAGAGCCCGAATCTCGTCTAGACTTAAACGCAATTCGTCAGGATGCATCTTCAAACATTGAAAAAACTGCCACTGCTGATACTATACGTTTCAACCGCGGTAGAGCAACAGTAAAACCTTTTATGCAAGGGGATTTCGTCTTTATAAAATGTAGCGAACGTAATCAAACGAAACTGCAACGAAAGTTTAAAGGACCTTTTGTTATTTCGCGAGTGTTAGATAATGATAGGTATGAGCTCAGGGACATTGATGGATCTAACAGAACTTATAAATATGCCCATGAAAATTTACGTGCCGTACCCGAAGGCTATAGTGGATTAGTTGAAGCAGCTACTATCTTAATTAATAATGCGGAGGAGGCCGAGACGGCGATCCACGGTCAAGAGAATGAGGGGGTACCATCTGACGATGATAGTGATACAATGTCTATAGCTAGTTCGCAAACTCTTACCGCTAGTTCGGGGACCCTCTCAGCCTCTGAGCGTGATGAAAACTAAATCGTAAGTTTACTTGATAGTAGAGCCTTGTTTAATGTTACTCTGTCATTTTTCTTAATATATGTGCTCATGTGTGACATACTGAAGTTAATGGGTTCGAGAAGTGTCTGGGCGTTAGAACTGGCTCATGCGGGTCGATGTTCTAAGACAGACTGTAGTAGAGTGTTTGTGGTGTTGTACTGGAGACGGTAATCGGTCAAGGAAACTGGCTTATGTAGGTCGATGTTTCGGATCAGATTACCGGTCGCGTATATGAAGTCTGATTGTGTTAGATGGTCGAAGGGACGCTGAGGGGTTGTCCGGTCTATGTCAGCATTGCGAATGTTGGCTAGTCGAAGGGACGCCTACGTTCAGTTATCCGGTCCATTCTATAGGTGAAATGGAAAGTCACACATGACATGAGACATAAAATTTTCGCAGTAACTATATTGAGTCAGGGATGAGCGAGCGTACTGGAAAAAACATGATGTTTTATCTTTGCAGATTAACTAGAACAGCGAGGTGAGAAGAGGCACGAGGGCGTGCTATCGTCAGTCCGGCCGTGACGGCGCATTGACATTTTTGAGAGTGACGTTTCGACACTCTGACACAACCCCGGGCGCTAGTGAGCATTAGCGTGTGAGTCGAGACGGACATTACTTTTGTCATTCGATTCGCATCGCATCGTTACATTACGTGTTCGGTGGAGTGTCTGTGTTTGAATTTTTAATTGAAATTAAGAACTGTTAAGAATTGTGAAGTGTTAATGAACAATTGTAAAAGGGATTATAATTAGTGATTATATTGTGTATGATTTGTGAAGCGTCGTTTTATTCTCTTCGTCCGTCAACTCACGTCTACCCACATTATAGTAATAATTATTGAATATGGAAACGATTAATAATGATGATAGAGGCCAAGTGCCTTTAAACACATTATTAGTTAATTGTTATTGCCAGTAATATCATAATTGGCAGTATACTCGTACGTAACGAATTTAAGATAATCTATTATAGTCAAGTCCCGAGCGTCTAGGATGATTCATACGCTCTAACCCATTACGTATTGATCGATTAGTACCATTTAGCTGTGATGTAAGGAAAATGAAAATGGTTAAAAATATAATAGGAAATCTTAATAATTATTAATTTTTTAATATTATACAAGTGATTTATCTTGTCTCCGCTTTTTAGTTGAACATAAGCCAATATAATTTTAATATGGAAATACCAAATTTCATGTTATTTTTTTCCTACATTACTCTGCCTTATGTGATAATTTTTATAGTAACACACGTTATGGGGTATTTTATAATAGCCCACATTATCTTCATTCAAGATCCTAATAATAAAATTTAATGTCAAACATACATGCAGTCGCAGAACTACTTTCATAAATTACGATTTTCTAGGTCAAGTTAATTTTACTTATTATTAACGTTTAGCAACAAAAGGCAGTGGTAGCCCAATGGTAACGTGCTCGCTTGGGAATGGAAGTAAAGTGGATTCAAGTCCCGGCTCTCGTATAATATTTTCATATGCGAATCATTTCATGTCTTACGGTGAAGGAAAATATCGTAGGTTTTCGAAAGACATGTTAAGTCCACTAACTCGTACATGGCTAGCATGATGACTATGACCTGATCCCCCTCGCATTGAAGGGAGGCTTAAGCCCAGCATTGAAATATTAAAAAGCTTTTTTTATTGAAATGTTAAAAAGAATGTTAAAAATCCATACTAATATTATAAATGTGAAAGTGTGTTTGTTTGTCTTTCTTACACGTCAAAACGGAGTGACAGATTAGCGTTATTTTTTAGTTGTGTAGATGGAGGACTGAAGAGTGACATAGGATACTTTTTACCGCGGGAAATTATCTAATTCCCACGGGAAAACACGTTATAATACAATCCAAAAAAATATTTATGATCAATATTACTTGAAACTCAGTATTAATGCTCTTCAATGCAATTAAATAAACACGTGTTTTAGCATTTTTCGAAATTCATCCTATAAGGGCGTAAAATAGGGGGTGAAAGTTTGTATGAAACTACCTTTTTAGATTTAGACATTTTTTTTTAGTTTTAGCGCGAGCGAAGCCACGGGTTTTGCTAGTAACATATAAATATAACGATTTAAATCACTAAATCACTTAAACTGAGAGAGAGTGAAATGTAAAGTCGCAAGACTTACTAGTCTTGCTGCTCTACAGTTCACTGTGAAACTAATTATTTGCTAACTTATACTCTTACACCGCCGTGTCAAGCGATCATTACCTGAGTACAACACGAACTGTTTGTGTTTATCAAAGTAATATTGCCCCGATTTATTAAAAACCTCGTATCGTAAAAATATAGCATATTTTATTTACAAACATAATGAAGTTCGTATACTTTATAAAGAATTTGGTCTAGAAGCTTACTATTAGATTTAATCTCGCTTCGCTCAGATGTAAACTTAAATGCCTTTTATATCATAGCCTACTAATATTATAAACGCGAAAGTTTGTAATAATGTATGTATGGATGCATGTTTGTTACTCTTTCACGCAAAAACTACTGAATGGATTTTGATGAAACTTTACAATAATATGGCTTATACATCAGAATAACACATAGACTACTTTATATCCCGAAAAAATGTACGGTTTCCGTGGGATAGATTTGTTTTTGTTTTTCTAGAGGCGAACTCAGGTTCGCTCAGGCGAAGCGAGGGTGAGCCGCTAGTTCATAATATTTACGTTTTAATGGTTTGTATGAAATAGACAGACTATATATACATAGGAATAGAAGAATAGGTAAGTAGTTAAAAAAAACTCGAAACCATCCTCTATTTTACCTTGATTGGTCATAAACGCCGAAATATTCTTTTCCTCACGATATGTTCACGATTTATCGCCTCTTTTAAGTTTCCTTTTACGAAAAAAAGTAGCCTATGTCTTTCGCCAAGGTCCTACCCCTTTCGTTACCAAACATCATCAAAATTGGTTCAGCGGTTTAGTCGTGAAAACGTAACAGACAGACAGAGTTATTTTCGCATTTATAATATTAGCATGGATTATGTCTACGGATGGCAGAAGCAGTAGTTAAGCAACCAAGTCAAGCTCGGGTCTCGAGCCACTGATACTTTCACTTGCGAAACAAATGGTGCTATTTTTGGGCAAATTATTTCAAAGTGTGTTTAGTAAATACGTAATCATTTCTCTAATTAATCAAGACGAAAAACTAATAATAATAATAATATGTTGGGACATTAACACACAGCGCCATCTAGTTCCATGGTAAGCTACGAGGCTTGTGTTATGGATACCAGATAGTTGATACACTACACATATATAACTTTTAAATACATACATAATATTATAAATATAAACACCCATATGACTGGAGTACAAACACTCGTGCTCATCACACAAATGAATGCCCCCAGCGGGATTCGAACCAGCAACCGCTGGCATAGCAAGTAGGGTTACTAACTGAACAACATCGTCTTTAGAAACAGCGACTCAAACACTAATTAAAAGTCTTATTTACAATAAGGGAATAAACAATTGAAACCAACTTTTATTAAGTTGACATAAATTCGTTGCCTCACTATTACAAAGTTCTATGTTACAATTTTAGTACTTATTTAGTTATTAATGCTGCAAGATTCTATGTGTCATTAGCTACAGTTTTGCAAAAACAAACCACTAGATAGCGGCACTTTAACTACAAAATATTCAATTTTACATAGTTCTATGTCGTTTTTTTTACGATAACAAAATAACGAAGTTCTATGTAAAAATTACTAAACTTCATTAAAATTAACATAGAACTTTGTAATAGTGAGCCAACGAATTTATACCAGAGTACCGAAGACCCTTAGTTATTTACTCAGATCCAAAATGGGGTGATAATTAAAAGCAAATAATAGCATCCTTGATTAGAATTATCCAAACAATATTTGAAGAATAAACAGTGAATGGAGTGAAGGAATTTGAATGTAGTATATATTTACTGTGGGCTTATATTATTTTGGTAACAACTATCGAATTTGATTTGCAGTAATATAATATGTTGAATGATAAGAGAATGTGTGAAATAGAGTAAAAATTATGTTTTTTTTTTGAAGAGAAAATGTGAGAGATGTATAATAAATAATAATCTATATATAAAATTCTAAGTAGAATTTATACATTTTTTTTTTGGAAATTCTTATTGAATTAAATTCTTATTAAATCTAGGCGCAACTGCCTAAAATTGGACAATGGAGTAAATAGTCACTACAAAGCTTAGAATGTCTGGTGTCTATAGAAAGTTTAGAATATCTTAAATTTCTATTGAAATAAATTATATAATACAAAACTAACTACAAGTTTAGTTGAAATGCCTGTAATTGATCCCTTATTCAATAGTTCCTGTCTTTCAAGACCACTTGTTTTCTTATTGTTTCAGCTCCAGTTCGAATCTGTATAGCGAGTAACTTGGCAGCTTATTAGTACTTCACAACTCCAATACAATAGCCTGCTATTTAGGCTGATCTATTCTTGTGTTGGGCAATATTTTATTTACTTTAGCTACTAACTTGTTGCTTTTTATATCTTTATATAGAATAATATGAAGTAGCTTCCGCTATCTGTTCGCTTAGATCTTTTAAACTACTCAACGGATTTTAATACAATTTTCAGCAATAGATAGGATGATTCAATAGGAAGGTTTATATGTATAATACATGCATATTATAGTACAGAAAAGCCGAAAAATTCAAGATTTGTATTTCTTACCAACCGTTAAAATGTACCCAAGGAAAAACCCGAGCGAAGAGAGGGTCTGTCGCTAGTTTATTATAATATAATAACTAGTGTCCAGCCAGTGGCCGAAATTCGACCAAAATTTTGATCGAATATTTGAGTAAAACATATGTACATGAATAGAATTATAAAACCAAGCTATATAAAAAAACTAACTAAATATATTTTTTTTATTCATAAAACTAAAGCTCATCATGTTTTTCAAAACTTGCTAGGTTCTTTAAAACAT